AAATAAGTTTTAAATTAATTAGGTTTATTTGATATTCTTAAATTACATGGAAAGCTTCATCAAATAAGAAATTAATACTTATGTTGTGTTTGTATGCATATATTAATATTAAAATGGTCTAGAGAACATATAAAAATCTCTAAAAGTTCACAAATTTATGATGCATTTTTATTTGTAATTCTAATTATTTTAAAATGTTGTTACAAAAAAAGCAAAGTTCTTTGGTAATTGTATTATAGTCATACCTGTAACTGTGCCATTTTAAGTTTTGTCCTTTTCGGACAGTCACTGTCTTCCTCCGATGCTTTAGAAAATGTTTTATCTTCAGAAAGATTCATGGAAAGGACTCTGTCTTATTTTAAAATAGAGTTTTCTGAAAATAAACTTTCAGATGATAACTTTAAACTATATGAAGATTTATAGAACTCTAAGGAATAACTGGATTCATGGAATGCTGGCAAATGATCAAGATAAATAAGAATTAATTATATGGGATTGAATGAACTGAGGATGGTTTTAATTTTTATAACTTTTACTTGAACTATTGCTGATTTTACATTTTTTGCTTTTCAGATATAGGAAAATTCATTTGTCTTAGAACAACTTGATAAATTATATATTTGTAAGCAGTATTGACACATTTAAATTTTTCTTCCTATCTGATCCTGCCTGACCACTGCCTCCTGAAATAAGGCTCAACAAGATTGACTGAACTGACTTATTCTCAGGACTGAATGAAATATGGAGCAGTCTACCAATTTTGCTTATGAAATGTAAAATTTATTTAAAAGTTCAACAGTAGGACTGAAGGAAACCAAAATTTTGCCACACTGAAGCTGCCTTTTGGGATATTGATTTTAAGCTGTTTATTAAGAAACAAGACTCAGGGAGAACATTTGACCCTCCCCCCTTTCTTCCCAAGAGATTTAGCTAAAGAAATCTGCCTTAGAAAGGGAGCTCTGGCTTGATCACCTGAAGAATCTTCACCCTAGCAAAAGGACTCCAAGCCTGCCAGCTAGGTACCTCCTGTATCTCACTGTTTCTGAGTTGACTAACAAGAATATTCCTGCCATGTATGTTCTGCTCTTTCTCAACTACCTATAAATTGCCCATCCTTATTTTTTGAATCTAGTACCCTGTCATTTCCTTTTCTCCTTTGCCCCAAAACATCTTATATTCCCAATTTTGTCTCACTGTTTTTGGAATTTTCTTATTTATATCAATTCCCCATGCACATGTATTAAAACTTTGATTTTCTCTTGTTTATCTGTCTCTGTTAATTTTGATTATTGGCTTAGCTGGAAGAACTTAGAAGGTGGGAAGGAAAGTATTAATATTTTTTAGCCCCAGCAATACCTTTGGGGACATGAGATTCTAGTGTCATTCATTGTCTCTTTTTAAAACTTTCTACCTATAAGCTGGACTGTATTCTGAATTTTTCTAATTTTCTTAAATATTTGGCTGAACGCTCCAAACTAATATTTTCATTTCACTATCCATTAACTTGGAATCATTGGGAACTAAAACTGCCCCTTTCCCAAGGCCATGCAAGCTAAGTTGGGATGACATGATGAGGACTGCAGAGAAATCACTAGCTCATCTATCCACAATCTTCACGCCTTCTATAGAAGGATCACAGACATTCAAACTGCATAGCAGGAGAAGCTATCAGACTCTCACTGCTAGTCTTGACTCTATCTGAAGATGACTTAAGACAGACATCTTGAAATCTTCTTGATGCCTGCCTTCAGAACTCAAAAACCAAAATAATGGTAACCTTTGTTTTTCTTTTGTTTCCATAGAGATACCTCTGTGGAGGCTAAAAAAATATTAATACTTTTTCTCCTACTGTCTAAGTCCTCACATCAGGCTAATTATCAAATTAACTGAAAGAGATTAGCAGGAGAAAATCAAAGTTTAGTAAATGCACATAGGGAATCCACATGGGCATGATAATTACATGAAAATTCCAAAGACAATGAGGCAAATTTGGATACATAGAACATTTTTGGACAAAGGAGAAAGAAGTGAGATGTGATCTTAGATTTCATAAGTGAGAATGGCTGGTTTACAGGAAGTTAAGGAAGAGCGAAACATATATGAAAGGAAAATCTTTGCTAGCAACTAAGAAACAGTGGGACACAGGGTCTATCTATCCAACAGACCACTGCCTGAAGCCCTCTTTTTTACCATATTTAATTCAGTTTAAGCTAAGGAGAACATCCTATGACCTTTTTCCTGAAATAGTTTTCTACTGAATTTTGGGGGCAGGAAATGGGGGAGGGTGAATGTTTACTTCTGAGCTCTGTTCCTTAAGAAACAGCTTAAAATCAATATCCCCAAAAGGCAGCTTCAGGATCGCAAAACTTTTGTCCTTTCACTTCCTATTAAATACTTTGTTGCTTGCTCCATAGACTTAACTTTGGGAGCCCACAGGCATCACTGCCTCCTGAAATGAAACACAACTGTTGAAGCAAACAACTTTTCTCTCAAGACTGAGACTGGTTTAATGATAGAATGATCAATCAGGCTTGTTTTTGGAATGTGAAGTCCAAGGAAGTTTCAGGTGTGGGAACTGTGGAGGTTCAGAATGAAATACCTAAAGATATGCCTCTGAGGTATGCAGATTACTTTGAGCTAAGGCAATTGTGGCTTCAGGCTCAGGAGAAACTTCGGCCTGTCCTTTTCACTATTACCTGTAGGGCAGGGCAAATTTCTTTTTTTTTTTATTTTTTTTTTATTTTACATTTACACAATGGAATTCTATGCAGCAGAAAGAAAGAAGGAGCTCCTACCTTTTGCAACAGCTTGGATGGAGCTGGAAAGCATTATGCTAAGTGAAATAAGCCAGGCAGTGAAAGACAAACACCATATGATCTCACCTTTAACAAGAACCTAAACAACAAAACAAAGAAACATGGAAAATATAACCAAAGACACTGAAATAGAGGACAGGCTGACAGTGTCCACAGGAGAGAGAAGAGGGAATTTCAGGGGACAATGGGAAGGGTTTACAGGAGCAAATTTCTGTTTACTAAATGTCTGCTCTTCTTTTCATCCTTCAAGGGCCCTTTGAAATCTCTAGTGCACCTTACTTCATCCCTAGCTCAGGATGTTTTATATACCTCAACCCCCTTTCTGTCTCTGAACCTCTCCTGAATGTGGGTTTTCTGATGCTTTCAAGTATGTGGGGTTCTCATACACATGTATGTATTAAATTTGGTTATTTTCTCTTGCTAAAAAGAAATCGTAAGTGCCTGAAAACTTGAAACAAAAGGGTAGCTGTATTAATGAATGTATTCAAGAAAACATTCCTTTCTTATAATTTTTAACATTAAGAAAATATTCTTCCCAGTCACTGCCAGTAACCATTCTCCCTTCACTGAAAATCGAGGCCAATAAAGTAAGATATACTCCTTGTCATCATGAAGAGTGGATTTTCCAAACCATCAGCCTAGAGTTTCACCCTCCTGCTTTCTGCTGGCCCACCTTAGGAACACCTGAAGAGTTTGTGAGTCACCACAAGGTCTGAGGCTGCAGGGGCAGTCTGGCCTTGGCTCCCACCCACCCTGTTCATCACAGGTGACCACATCCTTTCTGGTCCAGGCTATTCTGGTAGCCTTTGATCTCAAGTCCTGGTAACCCATCCAGCCTTTGAGGGGAAGAGGGCTCCTTCTCTTTGCCACAAGAAGGAGCACTGATTGGGACCAAGAGACCTCTACTCTTTACAAGGAACTACCCAAGGGTCTGTCATTCATAGCCATGTCCATCATGGTGGACATCTCCACCTGTCACTTGGCCACAGCTATTCATCTTCTCAGGGCCTATGGTTCTTTGTGATGCACTTCTTATAACCCACCTCAGAGCCAGTGTTTTTACCCTAATTAGGGAATCTAAGCCCTGGAACATCACATACCTACTAAGGCATATGGTGCTCTGGGTCCACTTGCAGCCCCTGATCTGGGCACTAAGCCCATGTCCCACAGTAAGCTGACTTCTGCCCTGCTACCTTCCTGATCCCCATTACTGCCACGCCCACAGTGTTCTGTGGTAGCTGCTTACACTCTCTGGATCCAGATCCTCAGCACTCAGACACCTGCACTGGAAGTTGGGGGGTTTCCATGTGCCCTGGGCTTCTTACCACCAGCTATCATTTTCTAGCAATTATCAGAGCCCTGCTAAGAGAAATCATCCTTGGATGTTTAGTTAAAGTGTTAGCTATTGTATAAAAGTAAGTTATCTTCATATCACAGGATCCTCAATTAGGTCCTGGCCTTTGATATTTTCACATAAGATTCTCAGAACCCCAAAGGCATGGAAGACTACTGGACACCCCATCTCCCTGAATAGATGACCCCATCTCCCCAAATGGAGAATCCCCAGGCTTGGCACCCGCCACCCAGCCCTCACCTGCTGGGTCTACATGTTTTATCCATCTGCAAGTAGGAGGCAGCACCTCCGCACCCTTGGCCTGCAACATTCCTCCAAGAAAGCAGCCCTGCCATAGCATCCATCTCTTATCTCCCTTACTAGATTAGAGATAGATGCTTGGTTCTGCTTGCTGGATCCCCAATGACAGTTGTGAGCCTGGCACCACAAAGGATGAGCAGGAGGGAGAAAAGAAATGAGTGGGACAGCATTTAGTTGTCTAAGAGGTCATTTTAAGGCCTGTTTCTTTTTAGGGCCTTGGAATTTACTCTCTCAGGGTGCTTGAAACAAAGGATCCTGATAAATGCAGCAGGTGTACTTTTGTGTAAGAGTCAGTTCAAAGGGATGAGAGTGTAAACCTATGTTCTTTAGTGATGAATGAACCTAATTTGCAACTTGGTAAGCCTGGTCACTGTCCCAAAAACTCAGATGGGTGTGATCTAAATGCTAGCGGGAGTATTTAAAAATTCTAGGTCAGGTGGCTAGTCTGACCTAGATGGGGTTGGCTGTGTGGTTAAGCTCATATGAGGTGGTGATGTTGGTGACAGGCTGCAGTGAGAGAGTTTGACGTGATGCCTCACACTATTTTACTGGTACAGCCTACAAAGAGGCCAGAAGGCAGAACTTATGCTGACTATGAATCAGTGAATGAATGTATGGAAGGCATTTGTAAAAGGTATGAAGAACATCTGAAGAAAATTAATCCCAACAGCCCCTCTATCACATATGATATCAGCCAGTTGTTTGATTTTATTGATGATCTGGCAGACCTCAGCTGTCTTGTTTACCGAACTGATACCCGGATGTACCAGCCCTATCACAAAGACTGGATTAAAGAGATCTACTTGCTCCTTTGCCAGCAGGTCCAACATGCCAGGGAAAATAGTTGTGGTGGAAGCATTAAGCATTGGGAGTGGGCTTGGAACACAGGTGTGTATAGCAATCTGTAGTGGAAGTTTTGTATTATAGTAATCCTTTTTCCATTTTGGTACACTCTAGTCAGGATTGAATGTGTTAGATGAAGTGTGAGGATTTTGTTCAATCTGAAACTCCCATCACCCCCCTATTTTTTCTTTTCTTCTTTTTACTTGAACATTATTATGATAATTTTGAAGGGTTTTTCTTTGTCAGTTAATGTTCATATATGCTTTATAAGATTCACTGTACCTTCAAGTTGGGTTGAAAGGTGGTGACACAGTTTAGTTATGTCCTAAGATAAAATCTTAGTGAACAAAAAATAAATGTCCTTTAGTTATAAAAAAAAATTATATGTCAACACAGGAAATACTTTTCTCTATTGTAATCTAAATCAAGTAAGATTGAAAATGGGGAAGGAAAAATAGGTTTCTTCTCAAATTGTCTTTCAACACAGTTAATAGAAAGTGGTGTGCACATATTAGAAACCAAAGTGGTAATTGGCATGAAACATTCAAAAGTCATTTGCAGACACACTAGGCATCAGAGACAACTGCTAAGCAGGGAAGACAACAGGATGGCTGCTTCAAACTCAGCCTGCAAAGGCCAGGGTTTTCTGGACCTGGGACCCCTACTCCACACATGCTTGACACATATGCAAACACACACACATGTAGATACACGCAGGAATGCAGACATATACACACATGTGCAGGCATGTGGGTACATGTGTGTGCATGCTTGAACATAGACACACATACATATATATATGCACACTCCACACTTTTCTCAGGGTGATGTTGAGCTTCAGGACCACAGAGTTGCTGAGCCTACATTTCCCCCACTTCCATTTTGGAATTCATCCAAAGGGGCCAGCTATGTTCCAAGGGCACTAGTTCTAAGTGCAGATCCCCCTCCTAACTAATCATTTTTCCAAACATTGATTATACTAAGCAGTCAATTGTCAAACATTTTAATTTGGTGAATAAATCCCCCTTGGCCCTGGATGACTGTAAATGGAAGCAAAGCCCCTCTGCACCTCTGAAGCTTCACCCCCACATAAGTGATAGGTCCAGCTCTGCGGTGTCAGGATTCCCACAGACTTTCTAGGGTTACAAGCACCAGGTTTCAGTGTGGGGCACCCTGAACATTCACAGCCTTTACATTTACATTGAGTTACATGAAATGAAAAAAACAAAAATATCACTTCATGGAAAATATAGAAATCCTACCCCTCTCAATAAAAAGGGGATCAGAAACTGCATAATTTTAAAGCAGACTGCAAGATTGAATATAAATTGTTTCCAGTCCATGGTAGATGAGAACACCCTCCACTCTCATTGGGACTGGCTAAATGAGGCTAAAAGCACACAATGTATTGTGCAAATGCCCCAGAGATCCAAGCTCTCTCAATCATGGAGTTCAAGATCTAGAAGCAGGTGCAGAGTCCAGGTGGGGATAGGAGGAAAGGGAATAAGGGGAACATTTATCCTTTCAGTAGCCAGAAGAGAGCAAATGAGGTATATCAAAGAGGACTTCCTGTAGGAAGGGCCCATTCATCTAGAAGTTAAAGTATATGTAGGATCTCATGAGATAAGAAGGAAGCCACAGGTCCCGTGGGAAGCAGAAGTTGGCAAGAAGAGGTTGCTGCATGTGAAGAGAGGAGAGCTGAGAGACTGTGGGTGTGAGCTGGAGCTGTAATACACAGGTAATAGGCCATGAAATAGTGTGGACTCTACCCCAGGAGCTTCGGCACCAGTAAGGGGTGAAGAGATGTAATCCCATTTGTATTTTGAAAAGATCCTTTGGACTGCAGTGTGAAGGGAGAATTAGAGGCAGGTAGACTGTGTTTGTGTATGGTTATTCTGGAAATTAAAAATGAGAAGGCTCTAGGTCCAGTCACGAGGAAAGCCAAGTGTCAGCCCGTTGAAAGCCAGAGTTACCTGCAAAAAGGAGGAAGAGGAATTGGGGAGGAAGAGAAACAGGTGGCCCAGGAAAGAAGGACCACCAGAAAGTGTGCTCAACACTGATCGTCTGCTGAGGGGCCACAGTGAAAGAAAAGGGTGTTGGGGTTAGCAACATGAAGGCCCTTGGTGATCTTAGCAAGACATGTTTTGGTTGGAGCAGTGGATTTAAGTTAAATGGTAGTGAACTGGGGAAAAGGCATAATAGCAACTGTTTAGGAAAGAGAAGAAAGATGGCAGGGTTGGGAGGAGGAAGTTGTCTATGGAAGGATGGTTTTGTTGTTATTGTTTAAAGTGAGAATGATTTCCTTGTGTTTAAATGCCAGTGGGCTCTCCAGTTGAAGATACTGCATTGATCACATTTACCTTCTCTCCCTTCTGAAACCCACTAGAGTGATGGTAAATTTTACAAGATTTGGAGGCCAAGGGATGAAGGAATGGGCTGGAGACATCAGGGAAGAGACACTTCAGAAAACTTTTGGGAGAGGAATCTTGAGTGTAGGGGTGGAAGCTGCCTTAGCAAAGTAGAGGAAGCTGCAATCTGGACTTGCAGAAAGGAGGCTAAGCACAGGAACCTCAGGGAACCTTAGGATCTGTGAGCTGGGCTGAAATAGAAGAATCCAAGGGGGCTGGAGCCCATTTTCCCCTCCTACCTGCTCTCCAAGTATGGTCCAGTGGTGGTTACAAGAACCTACACAAGTTATAAAACGGTATAGAACTGCACATGCGCACATGCATGCAAACACACACACACACACACACACACACACACACACACACACACACACACCAAACATGTCAGTTTCCTGGTTTGGGTATTATCCTACTGTTAAAGTAAAATGTAACCAGCTGGACAACTGGATGAAGGATCCATGGGATATCTCTGTACCAACTTTGCAGATTTCTATGAATCTATAATTATTTCAAAATAAGAAATTAAAGTTTTAAATAATCAAAAGTCAGTATGTCCACTTTTTTGGGTGAAAGATTTAACACATGATGTTTCTATTCCAATGGGAAAATTGAAGTGTAAATGTGTCCTAATCACCATACTCAAGTACTGGGGTGTGGATTCCCAGTGAGAAAGAACTAGATAACTCTCTGTCATAAGGAATGGGGAGGGGCAGAAAGACCCCATCTAGAAGTCCCATGGACTTGTTACTCCACGAGCTTGTGGTCTGAATGAGGAATGGGTTTTTTCTGAGATATCCTCTTTCTGGACCACGCAATAGAGCTCATAGAAGTAAAAATCCTTGAGCCAGCAAATCCTGGGAACCCACACTAACTGGGGAAGCTGGAGAAGCTAGAGGAAGGCCACAGAGCTGCAGGCTCTCTGTGCTCAGAGAGATGTGCACACAGGCTAGCTCTGCCTTCTTGCCAGTTCTCAAGTTGTTTGCTGCCTTGACTCAGCTTTGTGCATCACCAATAATGCACAGCCTGAGTGTGTTTTCCTGCTTTATCTACCATTCTCCTCTGGTTTGATCTCAGCCTTCAAATTTAAAATCATAACACTGCAAACATTTTTCCTTCCTTCTGTCCCCTTTAAATGCCTGTATGAGAATGATACTTCATGAAGCCCCGGAAAATTTCCCATGACTTTTACTAAATGGAATTTACCTTTTCACGAATCAATGTTACTTGTGGGGGGAGGATTCTGTATTACCTGTGGGGCTCCAAGTAGCAGATTGGAGACAGGTTTATCTCCTGCTTTGTGATTTACCTCTGCTTTATCTAACTTTGCAAGATCTTAAGGCTGCACAGTCCATAGAGCTAGGAATCAGGGGATCTCTGGTTGCTCTTACTACTTAGGGACCTCCAGCCTTGAAGCAAGTGTTCTGATACCTTCACAAACTGCAGAAGCTGAGAAATGAGAGCCATTGTTTTCCTCTTGTTGGGAATAAGGAAGAGAGCAAGAGAGTTAGGGAGGGAGGTCGGGGTGTGTTTGTGTCCTTTGTTTTCTCTGTCCCCATTCTGAATGTTGAACTCCCTGGATTTATTCTATAATTTTATTCTCTTTTACCCTTTCTTTGTCTTTTTACTCTAATTACTGGGGGATGGTGTTTTTGTTACTTTATCTTGCAACCTCATCCAATGCATTTTTTTAAATTTTATAAATAAATTTCTTCTCCCATCCTCACTCCAAGTGATTTCTCTGATTGTTCCTTTTTCATAGAATCTGTTCTTTTTTTATTGATGCAATATTTTCTCTGTAGCTAAAAAATTTGTTTGGATGTTTTTATGACCACAAAGATCTGTTCCATCTCTGCAAAGATCTTTCTCATGATACTCTTTTATGTCCATATCTACCCTTCCCTCACCAGCCCTTCTCTCAATAACTAAACTCTGGCCTCTACTAATCCATTCTCCATCTCCATTTATGGTATATAAATGGAGTCATACAGAATGTGACCTTTAGAGATTGGCTCATTTCATTCAGCATGCATCAACAGTGACTCCTTTTTACTGCTGAGTAAAATTCTTTGGTATAGATTTCACAATTCATTAGGAATGTTTGGGTTGTTTCCAGTTTTTGTCGATTACAATTAAAGTTGTTGTGAACAATCATATACAGGTTTCCTGTGGACAAAGCTTTAATTCTACTGGGATGAATGCCCAGGATTGTGATTGCCAGGTCACATGGTATTGCATATTTAATTTTTTAGGAAACTGTTAAACTGTTTCCCACTGTGGTTATACCATTTTACATTCCCACTAGAGTGATCCAGTTCTTCCCCACCCTTACTAGCATTTGGTATTAAAATATTTCTTTAGTTGATCTCATAGGTATGCAGTGAAATTTCATTGTAGCCTTAATTTTCTCTTTCTTAATGGTTAGTCATGTACTTATTTTCCATCCATATTCTTCAGCATGCCTTTTACCCATTTTCTATTTGAATTCTTTAAATGTTGAGTTTTGTAAGTTCTTTATATACTCTGGATGTGAATTCTTTATCAGCTGTATAGATTGCAAATATTTTCTTCCCATGTATAGTTTGTCTTTTCATCCTCTTAACAGGGTCTTTTGCCAAGCAAAAGTTTTGATTTTGATGAGGTCTGATTTATTGATCTTT